ATTTGATTACTATTCAACTAATATCATAATAATCAAATTTCGACAACATCTGTTTCTTTCGCATGTATCCTGATACCCATGAACATGAATGCTCGTGGATATTTTTTGAATAACGTTTGATAGCAACAAGATAGAGAACTGCGGTTTTCACCGTTGGAAAGGGGATATGAAGGCACATCGAACCGCATATTACTGATTTTTCTAACCTGTTTTTTGTAAGGTTTTTCAGTTGACCTTTTAATGAACGAACCTATCCCGTGAGTTATTTACAGTGAATGTTCAATAATCAGGTTCACATTGAAACTGCTAATCGAAGATTTACAAACTACGAAAGACTCAGATGTTTAAATTTAATTATTTAGAGATAATACGTATTCTAACTACGATTTTCTATCAACTTTTTTGCTTTTTCTTCCTTTCATAAAAAAAAAACATTTTTTCAACGATTAGAAAATTGAATAAAAAAAACTTCAGAAATCGTATTAGAAAAATCAGTAATATACAGTTCGATGCATTTTCATCTCGTCTTTCCAGCGGTGAAAACCGTAGTTCTTTATCTTGTTGCTATCAAACGTTATTCAAAAAGTACTTACGAGCATCCATGGTACCAGGACACATGCGAAAGAAACAGATGTTATCGAAATTTTATTATTATGATATTAGTTGAATAGTAATCAAATAGCATAGAAAGATAGAGCAAAAGACGCTCTATCTGTTCATAAAAGAAGAAATTTTTTCCAAGCAGTTTATACGGGATTAAGATGCGCGGCTCACTACTTTTGGTATGATCTAAGTATATTATGTACATGAATCATCAATTTATTTCAAGAGAAAACTTCATATTTGTTTTCGATGTTGTCAACAGTGAGAATAAGACACATTTTCTTTTGCAAATACAATGTAAACAAAAAGCCTGCATTCGAAGTGTCAAACGTAAGATGCATGCATAAAATTATCACATGCACCTTAACTATGAAAATATCTTTATTTATGAGTAGAAGAAAAAGATACGATAGAAAAGCATTATTTTTTAAGCATTTCTTTCGTCTTACCGTTCTTTTTCATCATTCATTTTTTCATCTATTCGAATATGGACGCGACAAAACAACAAACAACCAACAACGCCAACGAAAAAGATGAGTAAGTTATATTTCTGTATTAAACTTTTATTATGCTTTTCTTTCAGATCTACGGAACCGACGAATAAACCAAATGACATTGTCCAATTGCCAAATGATCTTAAATGTGTCACTAAAATTTCAATATCACCAAAATTTCGTTGTGGTGCGTCAGACTCTAGTGAAGATTCAACAGAGGATGATTAATAACTGTATTGAACATATTCTTTAAAAAAAATATCGAACTCATACATTATTCTTCTGTAACAAGTTTTGTAGCGCATTATAATGATTAGTATAGATCCATAATAAGAAATACGTAGCCTATTGAAACAGTTGATTGTACTTTCGAATAAAATTTCACATTAATTATTTATATTCTAATGATCCTTTTTTTTCTGTTTTATTTCATAATTAATAATTAAATGAACTATATTTTATTTTAGTTTCGTTAGAAATAAACTAAAATGTGAGAATAAAGGATAACAGATTTTCATCATTCATTTCTCTTCTCTGAAGTACAATCAAACACAATATGCATTAAGAGTACTTTTTTTCGTGAACTATGTTGTTGCAGCAATTATTATTTTTCAATGTTCTGACGAAATCTATATTGTATATTTAGGTACGTTATAGCTTTTATTTTTGATAATTTGACTCATTTTGTTCGACACATAGAAAATTTTAGGTATTTATTATTTTGATGTATTTGTGTAGAACATGAATCACTGTCGATCTGAGTATGAGTGTAAGTTTGAGTTTCCTAACTTATTTATCTACATTCACACCTGCACCCACCCACACCATACAGATAATGACGCAAATCTCTAGAGCATAACATAATCGACCTGTGACGCAGTTGATTCCATTATGTGGTTATCAGATGGCAGATTAAATTTTTCACAATAGCTAAACGTAAAAATCTCATGATACAAAATAATCTATCAGATTTCTTTTACAAGTTGCCCAAAAAAAACCTACAAAGAAATTTTCGGATCAGTGATAACTATATTTTACCACGTTATCAATAAAATATAACGAAATATACTGCAAACTAATTAGTTACTACTGTGGTGCTTTCAAAATGTATTACTAGCCTGCACATATACTTCTCCAAACAAGTAATTACAAAATCATGAGAAGCTCGTCACACAGAACGACAAGTCAACTCACACCCACAAAAAGATCCTACTAAACGCTACATTTTAAGCAATCGAACAACGAATATTTTCATCAATGTCGACGAATATTATTCCAAGTTTTTTGACACTACCGATAGAACGCATCTACAGATCTCTTGATTATCTTGATGATTGGAAAATTTTATGTTCGGCTCGAAATATTTGCAAACGTCTCGATGCTATTGTGGATACCTACCATCCATATAAAGTAAAATGCTCATACCCTGGAAAATTTTATTTTCATAATGCTCTAAATATTATTCACATCAAGAGAATAAAAATCTCTATATTGTTTCAGTTAAGTATTTTCCTAGTCTAATTGCATGTTAATAGATCCCATCATATAAATCTATAATGATTTCTTATAAACGACTTGCACTTTACAATGCAATCAAAAATTTTGATTTATCACTGGCAATAATGAAAAATCATTAAAGGCGATGTACTAGTTCAAAATCAACTACCACTGAATTAGGGTGTGGGTATGGGTGTCATTGATTGTATTAGTCACAGCCACACCTTACACCCTTATCGAAGAAAGTCTGTTGCTTTAAGTTAAACTATAATGCCGATCAACTACTGATTTGTTTCTCTAAACATTCCATACACTACTTTAATGCTCTAAACAAACATATATACGTTGAGACATTTTCCAGTGTTTCGTTTCAAAAAAAAACAAGATGTTTGAATGTCTATGCATGATATCAAATATTTCTCATTAATTGAATAGGTATTCTCCATCAGTTCCATTTTCATATTCACTTACGAACGCTGCATCATAAATACTTTGTCATCACCACATACAGACATTCACTGCACTATATCTCGATAATGAGCACATTGGTTATTACGGAGCACAATATCTTGTAAGTGCGCTTCACAAACATCAAGTAATATTACTACCTTCTGAATTTATCGATCATGATCTATTGGAAACAGACACTCATCACACTCAAGCTCAATGACAATCAAAAAGGGTCACAGAGAGTACGACATCTTGCCGATAGTCACATGCAAAACCAAGTAATATCATAAACTTGTCATTTCATTGTATAGTGCACATATTTGAAGCAGATACTCACCACACTGAAGCTCAATAATAATAGAATAGGTCGTAAAGAAGTAAAATATCTTGCTAACGCTCTCGAACAAAATCGAGTATTGTTACCAACTTGTCATTTCAGCGTACAATGTTTATTTAAAGCAAACACTCACCACATTGTGCCTCGGTAAAAATGGAATAGATGATCAAGGAACAGAACACCTTGCTAAAGCTCTTCAACAAAATCAAGTAATTTTAACAAATTATCATTATATCATTTACGCTGTACGGAAAATAGACACTCACTGCACTGAATATTAGTAACAATCAAATAGATGATGAAGATGTGCAGTATCTTGCTAATAGTCTCGAATGAAACCAAGTAATATCCCGTCATAGCATTCTATCATTCATTCATTCTTTTTAAATAGATACGAATCACATTGAATCTCAGTGCCAATCGAATCAGTGACCTGGCAGCACAATATCTTGCCAATGCTCTCAAAAACAACCAAGTAAAATTTTGAGCTTATCATTTTCTTTTTCGTTTTCAAACAGACACAAAATACATCTATTCTCAGAAGCAATAGAATCACTTATGATGAAGCGATACACCTTCAGAGAACTTGCGTAAATAATTCGGTCATTGCTCATCTTCGCATTTTATCATTCATTTTTTTTTTGTTGAAACAGACACATACTACACTATATCTAGAAGGCAATCTAATAATATTTGATTAAGAAGTACACCGTCTTGGTAATGCTCTACAGCAACAATGTACAATTTTGTAGCATGTTCTTTATGACTATCATGACTCGTTTTATGCTGACACTGTCCGCAATGAATATGATTTTCTTTTTTTCTTTATTGTAATTTTACGAATAGAATGACTTCTATGTCTATAAAGAACGGATTGTTGAAAGTCTGTATCTTAATGCAAGAATCATATATTAAACTTAATTTCAAAAAAGGTTTAGATAGTGTTTATAAAGTGCTCTTAATAACCATCATCTTTTTCAATCATATGAAACTGTTAAACTTGACCTTTGGTTATCTCATGACAAATGATAGTAGTATTCATTTTGAAAAGCTTTCTGCCAATAACAAAAAGACATTTTGATAATGCCTGTCAAAATCAACCATCACAACTAAGAAAAGCTGAATAGCAATAACAAGTTTAATGATAGAACTTGTTTATTAATTAACAATTATTATATGTGTTAGTGCAAACAACAAATGATAACGCATTCTCAATATACTTTTTCTCGAAAAAACTTTGTTTCTATGCATCGTTAACATGAAATAGACATCATGTGAGTATCAATGCCATTGTGCATCTTCAGTATAGTCTTTTATGATGAAATTACGAATAAAATTTTCAAAAAAAGTGCTACTCTATATTGATATACATATAATTCAAGATTATATAATTGTAAGAAAAATTTGTTACATGTGCAAAAAATAATAAAAACAATGTATTGATTCTTAGAATCAATGACTGGATTCGATGATTACGTTTTACATATTCTAGTATGTGCGATAATTAATAGATGACACAGAATACAGATGCCATGAAGTCAATAGAAAAGAATGAAAAAAAACAAGAAAATGTAATGTTCAATTATAAGCAGAAAGCAAACATCGTATGTAGATTCACATTACCAAATACTACATTTGTTCACTCGACTATTACCTTGACCAAGTTTACAATTGAAGACTCGATCGAATTCAGCAAAATTCGACGTTGAACCATGTACTCTGAAACAGATCGAAGACTTTTAATAATCATCACCAATGAGAATAGTACAATAAATAATATACCTGAACTGTGCTAATGAATGTACATCTTGTAAAATATATACAAGAGTTAATTCATCTGTGATTTTCGAACACCACATGGACCCGAAATTGATAAAGAACAACTGTTCAGGTGAATATTTTTGTAAACCAGGTAATTTTTTCTCTTCAGTTCCTGTTAGTCGAACCCAATTTTGATAGGCCTAACAGAAGTTATTTGATATAATTGAGACAAAAACAAAAATGAAATCTTACGAAAAAAGCTTCTTTCAATCCGCTAATGTCCGCAATATTTTCTCCTTGTGTTTGAGAACCGTTTATCTAAATAAAAGTCAAACTCTTTTTCATCACTCTCGAATAGATAGAAAAGAAAACCTTCAATTCTGTTTCAGCCAAAGTTACTCGATATTGATCATATTGATTGATGATACATTGTTTTCGTTCGTTGAATTTCTTAATCGTCTCGTTAGTCCACCAAAGAATTCGATTTCCATCTTTATCATATTTTCGTCCGAAATCATCAAAACCATGTGTAATTTCGTGACCAATAATTGTGCCGATGCCTGAAAACCATTAGTAAACTAAATAATTTGTCTTGAAAATATTAGAATTATTCACCTCCATAATTAAGATATCTATTGTCAAATAAAACGTCGATCAAAACAAAGATACACGAAAACAGTTAACTCACTTTGGTGCATCTTTATGATAGGCTGGCATTTGAAGAATACCAGCCGTAAAAGCTATAAAGAGTCTAATGAAAATAGAATTAGAAGATAAATCATACTGATTCGATTGTATTCTGGTGTATAGGTAGCATCAATATTAGTCGGTGCAACAACCCATTTCCTACGATCGACTGGTTCTCGAAGTATTTGAACATTTTTCTTCATTTTTAGTCGAAGTATAATCAATTCGTTGCTCATCAGAGATGAATTAAAATTATACTAAAAAGAAAACAAGTAACCGATAATTCAAAACTAAATTATTAATAATAAGAAAGTTTCTTTCTATATGTACCTCAGCATAGTCTGTCTCCAATCTGGTTAAATTGTCATTACCCAAATAATCAGGATAGCCAATCTCGTCGATCATAGCATAGGCCTTTTGAATAATATGATTGTATGTTTAAATTTCTGTTGTTGAACTTACTTTTTCTATTGCTTTTGATTTCGAAATTGGATCCATCCAAGATGATTGTTGAACCATGTCAACAAATGCATTGCGAATATTCATAATTATTTCCATTGACTAAACAAATGAAGAATCAACAAATGAAATATATCATTGTTAACTAACTTGATTACGAGCATTCTCGTCAAAATATTTTTCAATGTAGAGTTTAGCAACAGCAAAATCCATATTAGTATTGACATAAGTCGCACATTCAATTGTACGTGATTTCTGAGATTTGGTTCCAATGAATACTTTGAGAAAATTCTGTTTGATTATTTGAAATTGTTGTGGCATTTGATCAATTCGATTGACCACGAATCGCCACACTAGATAGTTTTGCAAAGTACGTGGTGAATAATGATTAATAATCGAGGAAACATTGCGTATAAAGTCTATTTCACTAATGAATATAATATCCTCATTCGTGAGACTCACATTAGCCAAGCCATAGGCACGTTGAAGATAGTCCACAAAGTCAAACTAAATAAAGATAGTAAAAATCAATGAATATAGAAGATACTTACATTGACATTCAATGTACGCGAAAGATTACCGAGTGTCGTATGAATGCTTTCATCAATACGAGTTCGCTGCTCAGCCATTGTCCAATGATTCTGAAGAATGAAAAACAATTTAGATCAGTATTCAATATGAGTAATGACAAAAAAAAACAGTACCTTGGCGATGCGTTGTTCTAATTCAAATATAGCATTAATATCGTCATTGATCATTGATGTATCATTAGTCAATGCTAAGGCTATTTCATGTATGCATCGACGATAGGCAATAGTGATTGGACTTTCATGCTCATAGATACTACGTGTACCCATAATAAGATCACTTTGTCCAATCTAAAACAGTGCTGAACATGCTTAATACAAACATGCATCGAAACTCACATACTGTTATCACATGAGCAGACGAATTCTGATCATCAACGATTGTATCAACATTGAAGATGACTGAATGTCTATATTCGAACAGTTTTAGTAATTGATTCGAAATATTAAATGTTGAACTGTTCCATCTTGAGCCTTGCAAAATGGGCCATCCACCTAATTGGGTGTTTATGAATGAGAGAAGTACATCGACATTTTCTATCTCAACAGCGTCTTCATCAACGCAAGAAGCATACAAACGACGAGCATTTATAATTGCGTGAGATCCATCGAAGTTTATTGGTGTTGATGATGAGAGAACATCTTTAACGAAAGAGTAAAAAAAAGAGTACTCGAAAATGAGTAGATCAATTATCGAACCAATTATATTATTAGTCAATTGAGTTGCTACTACTTTGAATGCAGTTTCACTCGTATCTACAAATAAAGTCATGCTCATCAAAGATAAATGAGAGAAAGAGCTGACCTTCCACAAGTATCTTTCTATTCTTGAGCCATGTTCCACAGGTAAACTGATAAAAATTTTCACATGGATCAACTGTTTCATCGATACTCTTGAGTAGATTGTTAGCTAGAATAGTAGAACAGTTCGACTTCATGTTTAGAAGAGACCTTTTGTCACTAACCTGCTTCAACACAGATTCGAGTGAAGCATATATCATTTTCTTCAAATGAAAAATAGAAATAATATAAATGAATTTTTCATTTATTATAAGAATAGATGCCTTTTGATTTATTTTGTTCTATTGTGAATAAGTTGGCCAATACAAGGGTAGAAATCAAAAGAAGACCAACAACTACGATGAGTATCATAGAAGATACTTTCCATGAACATGCATACCTGCAATGTTGTTAACTCAAAAATGATCTTATCATATATGAGTATCCTTTTTCTTTGATATTAAAATCGTAGAGAAAAAGAATGTACATCAATCACATCTTACCGATGCTTATGAGTCGGTGGTGTGTCACTAATTTTCAGTGAGTTTTCCATATTTTCTTACTTTTATATCGATAGATTCAATTCTGATATGCCTGAAGGTTTATCAAATTCACAATAAGCTTTATATATTCGTCGTTATTTTATGTTCTATTGCTTAATACAGTATGTGATTTCTTGGATTGATAAAAAAACCTTACCTTTTTTTTTCTTGCTCTCCTTCACTTTGTTCATTACTATACGTATTCTTTGATTTGACAATCTCTCATCGATATATGTCAATATTCACCTATATATATGTACAAGGATAAAGAAAAAGAATAAAAGAACAATCACATGATGTAAGATATATGTGAGAAACAAAAAAAATAGGAGGGGAGGGGGAATTGTAATAGTTATATCTTTTAAACAGAGCATTGAAAGGTCGTGGTTTTTTTTAGTAGAGACAGAAAACTATGTTTCAAAAATGAATGTATCTGTGCCGTTGGTTATATTAACGATTTTAGAAAGATATGTTCTGAGTGTCTGCTGTTAAGATGAACAAATGGTCAGACCACCGATGGGTGAAAACCGAATCATTTGATACTTTGACGTTACTGCACAAATTAAGAAATACAAACAACAAGATATTTTGTTCGGATACTTTTTTGACGGGTATATGCAGTGTCCAGAAAATTATTAGCTCACGAAAAATGAGAATATTTTTCGTCATATTTCGATATAATGGGTTGGTACTTTTTTCACTGATAGAGTATTATCAATAGTTTCTATTTATAGAACAAATATATTCCTTCTCTTGCCAAGAATAAACGATACATACTAACTTTTTTTTTATAACTTTTTACACTGGTTAGTTATGATTACGCATTGAATAGAGAAAAAGGATGTAGGTGTGTGAAAGGAAATTCGCACCCATACGCATTGAAAGATTTATTCAACTTGCATCATTGGAAAGTTTTAAGAGTTCAATGGAATTTTCATGTTCGCAAACAAGAACAATATCTTATTAATATTAGTTATAAATTTTATTACATGAGAATTTTATCGATGTAATTTATCAGATTCTGCTTAGGAAATGAAAGAAAAAATTTTGACTTTTTGCACATAGAACAAACCAACCATTTTCATCGAGTCAGAATAGGTCTCGAAATGTATTGAGTAATTTATCAACTTGTTCTTTCATCATATCATTTTCTACAAAGTCACTTGTCATTCTAAAATGGAATCTTTTAAGTTTGAGAAAATGATTAGAAATAATATTTTCCCATTCATGATCATTGATATTATCACGGCAGCCTACTTTCAATCGATACAAATTGTTCACTCATTGTAACATGTTGTGTGAATCACGATAATAATGAATTCAAAATAGTTCTAAAAAGTTATATTGATTGAACACGTGACGTTAGGATTTCGTAAAAATATCTTTCAGAACAGAATGCTGAAAAGTATTGAACATTTAGTGTAGATACAAGTAAGTGATCCAAGTTGGAAGAAACTGGATCATGGTCCCATATAGACAGATGTGTAATTCTTGATGATGTCATGGTTGATTCTATAAAGACGTTATGAAACAATGAATCTTCAACAATATCGTCACAAGAACAATGAGAGAGTTTGGATAGACTCTATGTACAGTTTATCAAAGGGAGTGCCGTTGACGAATTCATCTACTGAGAATCTAATCGATGAAGTAGTCGAGAAGAACTCCAATTCTCTGATAAATACAATGAAGATACTTTATCAATCAAAGTTGGAAGATATTCTCATAAGATTCTAACAAAATCATTGAAATACAGTGGTTGAAAATTGATCCTGTAAATGGCAAAATGATGAAGAAGAATCAAATCGAGCATTGAGACCGTGAAATGCATGTATATAAGGATTCGTACGAAGAAACTCGCATGGATGAAGTAATAATTTGTTGTACCAAGTATCTAAACGAAAATAAACTTTTCGAACCTCACATCACGTACTTCATGAGGATAGAAATGACAGCAACATGTACGATTCTTTTGAAAACATATCAGAGGTTACATATAGGATGTAGGTGTAGGTCTAGTTCTAGTTCATTTTTTTCCCAACTCAGAGATTCACACCCAGTCATACCCAATCCCAAATCCGAATCAATATCGAGCTGTATGAAGTATAATGAAAACCAATCTGAGTAAGCAAATGTTCGTACAAAGTCAAAAATCAATCAACATTTTTCGTTCTACAAAAGTGCAATCATCTATTTTTATTCAATGCAAAGGAACAATATACTGCTCAAACTGTTGTCTCAGTTCGCTTATTCTTCTATTGAGTACCTTCTATTGCATGAAGCCAAAATAGCATCCAATGAAAGAAAAACATGACTGCAATTGTTTTCAACACATTATACAATACATCAACTAATAAGAAGAAAAATTCAATTTCTTCTTATACTCCTGGTTAATATTAAATATGTTATAAAGAACTTGCAGATCCTAGGATCTGATAGATATATTCTCTTGACGATATGATTATCTTCTCAACATTTGAGATATCTTTAACTTGTATTCCTGTCTATCGTGATCTTCTCTACTCTCATATGCTATACTACATAGTGAAATTTTGACTTGAAACATAAAATGGTTCAAATGAATCCTATATGGAGTAAAATCTATACAGATGCTATATCTAATATGACAATGCTTATTGTTTATCGAAGTCAACTCCAACATTCTGTAGGACATTTTGCCAGATGCATTGCAAAAAATATTTGAACATTTTTTATTTCGAAATTGATCTAAACTTTGTTTCACAGTACGAAACCTTCTGATAGTCTTTTCCTTCAAGAAAACTAACATCTAATTATGTACAACTGTTTGACTGCATTATTTATCCAAACGCAGAAATTAAGTAACTTCACAGAATTATTGAGGTTCTGATCAGAAACGCATGATTTGGATAAATCTAAGTTCTACAGCGAATCCACTGTCAATATGAAGACAAATAGTCGCAGTTATGAATAGATTAGAGATCTAATAGATTTTCAGATTTTAGTTAGTTTGATAATGCTTGACTGAATCATATCAAAAAGGATTGTGTATAATATTTCATTGACACCCACACTGATTCAAGTTTTATCTTCTATAAATATTTATACAGAGCTCTTTGATAAATTTCATAATTCTTATAGCAATTAGAAATCTATTAGTTTCACAAAGGTCGTCTTTTACGTTTTCCTGAATATCAAAAACCTGCGTAGTTCGAAAGCTTATGTGGTCACAAAATCCTGTTGGCAGCTTCTTTCACACAGACAGATCGGATGTCCAATCTATGAGGGTGTGGGTTTGGATATCAGGCTTCTCTTCATACCCACATCTACACCTACAAAAAGCACTTTGTCAATCGATAGTTTCGAGCTGAAAATCGTTCATCAATAATTGAAACCAACGGAAAGAATAGTATATTGATCAGCCGAATTCATCATTTGTTGATGGTCAATGTGAAAAGATTTCTTCTAATTATAAAATTCAACTACACAAAAAAAAAATCTGCTTAATATTCGCAACATAATTGAATTCTATGTTGTCTCTCGATTTCATCACAACTGTAGAAGCCCTAGAAATGAGAGTGAAAGTCAGCATATTTTAATGAAAAAAACCAGAATAGAAAAGAAACACAACATCCCTTTCATATTTAAATAAAATATTGTTTGTCCATTCTTTCTTTCCATATTTAAGAAGTAGCCGCAATAGTATACAGCAGAAAATAGTCTAAAAATAGCTTCTTATTTTCCCAAAAGTTATTTGAGGACTTTAATTAAAACTAATTTTATTTGTCAGTTTAGACAAAAATCCCAACTGACCTTTCATTCGTAATAGTGACCACTGCAAATCGAAACAGCATGTTTGATAGAGGATATCAACAACAGATGGCTATCAATTGACCATAAGTTTGTTCAGTTATTATCTTGTGATCATGTCAAGAGAAGAGCAATTCATGAAATATCAACTCTTCATGTGCGTTTACTTCAGTATAAAGAAGCAAATAAATAAACGAGACAAAGACAGGAGGATGTGGGTGTGAGTAGGTGCCAGTAAGAGCATGAAACACCCACACCCCACACCCCACGCGCACACCCACCCCCGCCCTAATGTTTGTTTTTATATTGGTAGTTCATGTTCCAGTTCAGTCTCACCAATAAGTGCCACGAATTGCAATGGATATTATGTATATTATTTAAGACCATCTCCATCTACTTATTATTGTTATTGCACGATGCCATAATTGTGAAACATCGATAATGACTTTATTTTTCAAACTTTCAATGGAATATTCTAAGAGTCTAACTTTAGTTTCAACAACACTAACGATTGGATTATTCTTACTAACATCACGAATATTTGTATCTTTCCAACAAATAAAATAAAATGATTCACATACAATGTGTTATTCGTTTTTATTTCTGAATAGAATACATGCATTCTTTCGTTAGAAAATCATCATGAATCTATCACTTTAAATTAAAATGTTCTGTTTTTTTTTTCATGATCGAAACAAATCAATGTGGTTCACTGACAATGGAACATAAGAATGAACTATATTCAAAAGGCAATCAAATATTTGTACTAATGATGAATACTTGCAGACACATCATTGCATTGTTCTTCTTTGTCGTCAACTAAACGACAATGGCTAGGATCGTAGATGAGTGTACAAATATTAAAAAGAAGAACATTCGAAATTAATCAGACAGCTATTTGTATACTCTTTGTTTTATCAAAACCGATTCCTTTTGAAACGTTTACAGTACGTTCAATGGCTACACAAAACTTGAGTCAATTACAAGTCCTTAAACAAGCCCAAAGAAAAAACTGAAGAGACAAATATTGTACGTTTATGAGTGAACAATTACCGATCCAATTGACTTACGATGCTAAGAGAAATCAGAATTTTAATGTAAATATGATCATTGTCATCATAAATGTAACAGATGTAACAAAAAGATATAGATCAAAGCTAATACTGTGCGTTTTTTTTCTTCGAAAAATTTTAAAAAATTCTTTCTCACACTAACGACATACATGAGTATTGTTAGGAAAATCTTCACTTTGATAACATGGTTGGTCGACTAATACTGAACTGAGAACTGATCCTTTAGTAGATAATTAAAATTTCGATTCGAAACAACATTGATAACAGGAATGCAATGGCACTGGTGAACACTTATGATTGTCTTTGAAGCAAAACCTTTCAGCTTTCACAATATTGCATCCTTGACAATCATCGTTCATTTTATGTTCGAACTAGAAATAATTTGACTTGTCGATCGAGAGTGTACAAACAGAAGTGAATATTAGCAAAGAAACAAACTAATTTGATGTGATTTTGACACAGAATATGTTCATTGACGGCAAATACGACGAAATTTATTATATTTATACATCAAGTACAGGTAGGGTGTGGATCATTAAAGAGGATTACATCCACGTCCACATCACATCCACATGCTAGTTTTAGCGTCATCTCTATCCAAATATGAAATCGAACCAAGTCATTTTTCTAATACCAGAATATGGTACATCGCAGTTGATATTTATATTTTCACTTTAAATAATAAGATAAACAACTATTATTAACATCACAATAGAAAAAAAAATAAAGAGTACAAGATAGATTTTAGAAATTAACTTATTTTACTACTAGTCAATTTATAATAGTCAATCAAATTGTATTTTAATTTTATGATTTCTATTAGAACTAAACTGCATTTGGAAAGGTTCTGTATTTTAGTATCTTTACAAGAGAATCCACTCGATCTTTGCCTTCTTTTTTTTTTTGAAAGTGTGTTTGTGTTATACTTTGATGAAAACAAAATTGTTGTTACCTGTGCGTTGGCTTTCATGGAGTGTTACATGCTTTTCTTTTGCTATCTAATCGTTAGTACAGATCTTCTTAACACAAAAAAAAATACTCAAAGCTCTTCTTTCGAATATTGCGATAGAATAAATTATCATGTGCCTTAGTATTGGTTTTATTATTATACTATATATATTCTATCGTTTGTATCAACATATTTTTTTCAACACCAAACATTAATCCCAATGACAAATATGTTCTTATCAGTGATTGTGATACTGAATTCGGTAATGCATGAGTTATTAAGCGTAATAAACGAGATTTTAATGTTCTTGCTGGTGTCTTCATTCCTTCAAACCTAAATTCTCTTAAAGACAAACTTTCATCAAGAGCTACTGTTTTTCGTCTTGATATTACTATACAAGAAGATATTAATGCAGCATTTGAATTAGTCAAGGAAAAAACAAAAGTTCTTCATGTACTTGTTAATAACTGTGCTATTGGCACTGGTGGCTACATTGGCTGGATAACCTTAGAACACATGCACAAAATAATGGATGTGAATTTTTTCGTACATATAGCAATGACAAAAGTTTTTTACTGTTGTTAATATCTAAACGTGACCCTCGAGTAATTAATATTACTTCAGTGGTGGATTTAATAAGTCCACCAGGCATGTCAGCGTATTGTGCTTCAAACCATGCTTTCGAATCATCTTCTGATTGCCTTCGTCGTGAAATGTTTCTATGGGGTTTACGTGTTAGTATCATTGAACCAGGATGCTTACGAACACTAATCATTGAAGGACATCATCGTCTCATAACGAGATTTATGGAATGGATTATCATGTTGACGTCCGCAACAGATGGGGCGATGATGTTGTCAATGATATAATTGAAAAATCAATGACGAGAAGTCCATTTATTAATAATGCTGAGGATCCGATGAAAATGGTACAAGCACTTCAACATGCTGTTATGAATACTAAACCTTGTATTCGATATCGTCCAGATTTGCAAGCTAAACTTTTCTTTTATCCAATTTTTATGCTTCCTGTTTGGTTATTTGATTTACTTGCCTTGAAATTAGTTAGCTCATCTCTCCTTTCTGTTGGAGTTAAAAATCAGATCCAAGCTAGTCGAATAGAAATTATTCCTTTCTAAAATTTCTGAGCACTTTTATGATTCAAAATAATATTAAATAAAAAACGATGTGATTAGGATGTAGATTTAGATACAACCCATATCCTTCATAGAATCTTATTTTATCGATATTTGCGTGGTGAAATTAGAATGAATTATTATTTTCATGCGACATCAATTTTTGCTTCATAATATGAGAGATATTAGTCAAGGAAGAATGTGTACAGATATAAATTAAAAAAATACTGTCCACGAAATATAGAAAGAAACTTTATTATATATCGTCATACACAATCAATATATCTTGATAGCCATCTATATTTCATAAAAAATGGTTGAATTGGCTTTTCCTCTCTTTACATATAGTTATACATATAAAATACTAGTAAGCTTCCCTGCCAACTGCACGATTGGTTTTTCCTTTTACCGTTTAACCATTAAGCTATAATCTGTGACCCAGTAACAAACATACAGACACTCAACATTATATATATATAAAGGTGTGGATGACGACAGACAAGGGAGCACCCACACCTTACTTTCACTCGTTTTTATTTTTGTCAATATGAGAAATGTTTCAGAAAGAATGGACGCGATTTTCGTTATTTTTTAAGAAAAATGGTTACAAGCACGTTCCTGTAATCTTGAAATCCCTTATGAATTGTTCACCAGAGAAACGGCGAAAAACATGTTTTAGCAAAGTGAAAACTCTTTCTTTTAAAGAAAAGAAAACACTCAATTCACATAAGGAACGCGTTGTTTGACGCGCCATTTTAGAATGGATTTCATCTTTCTTGAAAAGTTCTGGTGATTGGGTGAGTATGGATCTTCTCTTTACACCCACATCCCAAGAAACCACACATTTATATGTCATTTGAAATCATTTCGAGTGCAATCTACTTATTGACTATATTATTGAACATTAACATGAAAAGAGTTGATTGTTTTCGTTTCTAGTTAGAGCATATGGAATGCAGGTAAAATCTGTCAAGACGAAATAAGAATTTTTGAAAATGTTTTCTAATAAGAATCATTTCATTCTTAAATTATTTAGAATCAATCTGATTCGTATCCGCTGTTGACTTGGTTTTAAAATAGACTTATAGATATTCATATGATTAAAATTCTTCGATTTATGTTTCCTTGTCAAGCATTTGATAATTGCTTTATTGAAAAATAGAACGTAGGTGTCATTGTAGGTCGGTGCTATTACTCCCATGATGCACATATTTACTGACACCCCCAATCATCAATAGCACATTTGTATGAATAAAAACCCACAGATTTACAACTAGCAATTGATCGACAAACGTACAGTTTGTGGTAAGCATGCTAGTATCTTGACACATTGTATAATTTCTACTGACTAAATAAGAAGAGAAAGTAAAAGAGCAATGATAACAACTTCTGTACATTTTATGTTGATTCCTAGCAACCTTACTTAAATAGAGGGGAAAATTTTCGTTCAAAATGGCTTTGATTCTCTCTTTTGGCCAAAAATAAGGGCATCACTGATGACATGTATATCGATTGATTTTGGTTACTGACATTCACATTGTCTTTATTACGCAGAAAACAGATCAAGATCGATAAAATCATATTGGTCTTCATAATCGACAATACTTCATGTGGCATGAAGATAAATAGCATGGCAAAAGCAAAAAAAGTGAAAGCGAAACGAAAGTATCTACAATATTAACATAATGGATAGCAAGTTCAGCTGTCACAAATAGTTCGAAATGATGTTTTCGACATGATTGATGTTTGCCGAGTTGAGCACACGAAAACATCACTGTTTTGTGTGAAACTACTTAGCAAAACATCATTAATTTTCTGAGTGAAGTTCATAGACAGTATATGACTTTTACGGGTTAGCTAAATTCCAAACATCGGTTGAAGAGAGTTCTCTAGAAAACAAATAAAATTCATCAAGAAGCCCCGTGTATTGTCCCGTAGCGATCGTGCTTGATGAACAAGGACCAGCAATACTCGGTGAAAAGCCAAGTGTTGCAGTGACCGGAACACCAGCTGCCGAGAATGTGTAGGCACCAGAGGCTGCACCGTATTGAGTACCATTTACCCACAATCGAAGTCCATCCGTCGATTGATAAGTCACTGCCAAATGAGTCCAAACTCCAACATTGATAGCTGGTCCAGTCAAGATGAGGCTACTGTTTACAGAACAACTTTGTACAATGATATTTCCCGCATTGGTTAAACCAAGCATCGGCATAGACCAATGTATACCACTAGTGTTTGATGAGACGTGAATAATCGTTCCACCAGCGATGGTAATCGGCATAATCCAAATAGCTAACGAATATGGATTACCAACTGTCCCTAAATAAACAAGGCCTGTGGCTTGTACGTACGACGGGTTCGAAGAAAGATTTAAGCTTTCATTGACTCGACCAATGGTTGCATATTGATAATTTATTCCTGTTCCATTGATACCTAACGGACCATAGTCAAGAAGGCTGTTGTTAAATGGATAAAATATTGTAAGAGTTGCATCTTGGAGTACTTCGGTGGCACTTAAAAACCAAAGATATCGATATTGCTGGACATAAAAGCGCATATCAATCTTACCTTTTTGCTCGAGAAAAGTAGGATATCTGATCGAGACATCCGTCCCAATAATTCATTCCAGCAAACACACCATTTGTGCCTATTGTCATATCACCCTGAGTACCTTTATATGGACCACGATTAGTGTTTGATGCATCTTGCACTCCATTTACATAGACATATTGTTGCAGAGTCGAGTAGTCATACACATAGGCCATCTAGAAAGAACTACTTAAATGTGATCATCTTTTGTTACAAATGCATAATAAATCATACATGATACCACGTATTTGTCTGAAGAGTTTGGGATCCTTGAGTATCGTCTCCGTAGAAACCAAAATAGATTTTTCGATTGCGTACAATGATATGGAGGGACTGGTCATTACTGTTTTGATCGAATTGACCAAAAATAGCATTATCCGAATCAGTACCCAAAGCACCGTCGCGAAAGGTTGTAGCTCGGATCCATGCACTGAGAGAAAACGAAGTATAAGCCATGTTGAGAAATGGAGGTGTATAGATAGTGATTGATTGGTTGGCTGAACCGTTGAAATAAAGGCATGATCCATAACCGTTGATACCTGGAGTCGAATAGGTTGGTCCGTTGATGCCAACACCAGGAAAATTACCATAGAAATCATTGAGACTGTTATCAAAAGTCCACAAGATTCGTACGGCTAGTTGACCGTTAAAATTAAAACTTTTTCATTTTTACTACTGATATTTTTTTTACTCACGCGTCTGACAATATGATCCTGTCCAAACATTATCAGTACATATGCAGGTGTTGTTAGGGGCACATGTTCCACCATTGATACATGCAGGATTGCATAAAGCTAGAACTCAGTAAAGTGAATGAAACGTGAAAGAGCAATATCAATGAGTTTCAAGCAATGAATATCTTGTGTTCCTGAGACTATTGAACGTTTTCGTGATAAAACCGAATATAACTGTTCAAGTTCCATAATATATTTCGACTGGTTATATTTGAATATGTTGAAAGACATTGCCAAGTAGTATATATAGTGCTAGTTTCTTGTTGGGGCATATGAATGAATGTGAAACGAAAAACCAATAAAATTCCATGCGGAAACTGATACTACCAATATTATCAGAAGCCACTTCTACCTACTGCAACGTCGAGAAAGGAAAGGGTGTGGGTGTGGGTGTACATTAAGAGCGCGATAAAATACACTTTTGGATGCATACAGACACTCACGCCTACTCTTTTGTGAGTTTCTCCCCATTTTTAAATTAAACACGGATTTGTAATTATCTCCACTCCTTCTTATCTTATCAATTTTAAGTCTGTTTACATTATCTTGAACTTGTCAACATAGATTCCTGACAACCAATTAGTTTTCTTATTCTAATTGTTCAATTACTGAAAGATGTTGTTTCAAGGCTTTGTTTCTTATGGACAACTCATCTTGATGGTATGATTGAGACTTTGATAGATCATTTAGTAGTTAAAACCTCGAAGGTTGTTTCCTGAGTACTGTTTATCGTTACTTTGCTTTGACGAGAATATTATCTATTTCCGGTTAGGTTTGACATAGCTATGGCTTATTGTCGTTTTGTCTCCGACGGTTTTCTATTTTCTTAATTCTTTTGGCAGCGAAAAATATTGGAAATAGTTAAGTTCAGATACGGCTAAGTCCTTGCAGTAATTATGCTTGTTATTTCTGGTATTTTCTTCGTCGAAAAGAAGCACAAATATACTAGAATAAAATGGACAAGAAATCGCTTCCGATAGATACCTGTATGGTATCTGGTGGTCGTGATCATCAAACTGAGATTGAGTATTCAGTTCTTCTGAAGAGTGGAATGATATATGACCGCTGACAAAGATCTTATATACTTGACCTAAATGATTCAACACTCACAATGTTCCATATCAATGTATATAGTTCAGAACAACTTGCAACCACTCGTATCCAGTCGAAACCACTCAAGGTGGCTGCAATTGAACTTATCTTTCTTAGTTGGTACTATTCAACACTATATGTTACCTGTTGTGGTCGTCGTTGATGTTGAAGTTGTAGTAGTAGTCGTTATTGTTGTAGTTGTCTTACTTCCTAAAACAAAAAGCTTTTCTAAAAACCTCAAACAATTTTTGGAATTCCTTCGGAAATGGTTTTTCGGAAATGAAATCTGAATTTCTGAGTAGCCAGAAACCGTTAGGTTTTGGAGAATAGGTTTTTCGGCACTCTAACAAACATTTTCGGATACTCTTGTAGTATTGTCGAAAACTTGATCGGTATTTGGAAAAACTGTAAAAGCACTTGAGAAATAGGATACTAAAAAGATTGAGATCATACATAAAGAGTAGAGAGCTGCGGGTCCGGGTCTGAAAATTTAGCTTTTCCCGGGCCCGGGTCCGGGTCTAAACCTAAGAGAAAAGTCAGACCCGGTTTGCATTAAGTTATGAATGGAAATATATAACAATAACAATTGAAGTCAACAAAATTGAAAAAGAAACAGTCAGAAATAATTTTACACTCATTTTCCCTTTAAAGTCGCCAATAAAGAGCTAAAATTGTGTTCCCTTTTCTGTTCATGTACACACAGGGTGCCAAATATTGGTGAAAAAAGGATCGGGTCTAGACCCGGCCGGGTCCGGGTTTAGACTCAGCCGGGTCCGGGTCGGGTCCGGGACTGAAAATTTAGTTTTTCTGGGGCCCGGGTCCGGGTCCGGGTCCAAAAAACATGGACCCGCAGCTCTCTAATGAAGAGATATCCAATGATAGCACTCCCAGTTATCGAAGTATCTCATCAAAAACTAAAAGAGCTTGCAATTTTCTAAATCTCAAAAAACTTTTGTTGAAAACCAACATTAGTTTGTGAATACTTTCAAAAAACTAAAAATGTTTTCAAAGCGTCGAAAAATGTGTCCAGGAATAACCTATCGTATCCAAAAACTCTCCAAAAATAAACGTGATAGATATTCGAATTTCCTTTTTGTTAATCTTCGTTGCTTCTCATCGCAAGAGTTCTCTAGACAGCTGGAAACGTTCATATATCGAGCACAACAAATTCAATTACTGCAATCGATACTTTTCATCAAAATATATTTATGAGTCGAGAACTCTTTTATAGACTCGGAATAGGCTAATGCCTTGCTCACATTCATGATTTAGTTTCTATTCTAGATATATGAGGATGTGAGCATATGAACACGGATGTACAATACCGGCACGCACTTACACACTCAACATAAAAAGTTAAGATTTTTTTCTATGTAGCTTTATCTCAATGAGAAATACATACGTACAATAAGTGATGTTAGAAATAAATAAATAGTGATATTATATTTTTAGGTGCAGATCGACAACTAATACAATAGTGAGCCATACGTATAATAATGCAAGAACTCGTCTAATAGTGAAAAAACTTGGTCAAACAGGCCCGAATGAGTTGTTGTACGGCACCTTCGATAAGTTGTCCACAACAATGTTATTGGTTCGACAATTTTTCTCATTGCTCTTGGAATGGTGAATATACCTTACACTCTTTAGTTTTTATCGAGTTAGGGAACTTTTAATTCATTTCTGAAATCTGTATCAGATATCTTGTTATGGCTTCTTTAGTTTTGAGTTTTCATACATTAGGAAACATTTGTTTAGAAATGTCGAAGTTTTCGAATAGTAATAGAAATGAAAATATCTATCTTTCGAGATTAGTTGAGATTTTGTTGGCGACATTTAATTATTGTGACGATAATAGTTATTACATTAAAATGTATTCATCAATCATACCTTTGGATGGCAAAAGATTTATAAGAACAACTGCTAAAGCTCCGCCAAGAAGTATGATACCGATTAATGAAAAGAAAGTACATAATGGATAGTTCAAGCAATAACAACATCTGAAAAAATGAACATAAATCGGGTTTAAAATACATCATAAACTCACTTGTGTTGTTTTCGTCGTTTTTTCTCTTGCTTCTCGTTTGTTTTACGACGCTCTTCCATCATTTTTGATTCTTTGACTTTTGTGTTATTCTAGTTTCAAAGTTATACATTTCATCAATGAATTAGTTTTTTATCAAATTAATTCTGTCTAACATGGACTCATTTTAATACGTTAGAATACACCTTTTTTGTTGCTAAAAAACGGTGAAAAGAGTATGTAAATTTTTGTAAAAAGAAAATTTGCGGACATAATTGTCTTCAGGCTAGTTTTTTTTTCTAAAACACGAAAAACAACAATTTTACTGCACGAAGTGTGTTTTTTATTCAGTTCTGTCTGGATAGAGAGGAATGAACATGTATACATGACACTTCTAAAACTGAATTAATCAATAACAGACTGATCTGAATTCAATTTGAGAAAAAACTTACTGTTTTTGATGAAACTAGTTGAGCATCAGTTTCATTTGTTTCCCATATGTCCGTTGATTCTTCATCCTCATTAATTTTATATGTCGTTGGATTAATTGCGTTCTTCTGGCGAAAAGCAGTAAGCTATGCAAAAATATTTCATGCATATTATGATGTGTTAGCATTGCACTCTTCAGACAATTATACCTTTAGAACGGGAGTAACGCTTTCAATTTTAGTTGCATTTAGATCGAAACCCGAAGTCGATCTGGTGGGTTGCTGTGCAGCACGAGAAGCAACAGAAATATGTGAAAGAGAACAACAATTAAAGGGAAATTAAAGAGATCTGTGAACATACAGCTGGTAAAGCACTCATATTTTTATTCGACGTCGTACTATTGCAACTTGTACGTAAATCAGGGCGAATTCGATTGGATATAGATGAGCATGTGGTCTGAATATTGATTGTGTCAATTGATTGAGTTCTTGGAGAAGCTTCCTCCAACGATGTGTGTTTCTCAGGCTAAAATAAATAGTAATGTATCGAGCATTGCTACTCTGTAATATCAAAGTTACATAAGACGTACTTTCAGATCAAACGCAATGAACGAATAATTCATTTAGAAAAATGAGCAATATAAGCAACAAAAATAGAAATGAAAATTCAATATCATGTTCTTCGTTGCTC